TTCTTTGTTTTTCTTATCTTATATATATTATTGAATTTGTAGAGTACAGCCATTTCTTAATTTACACATCAAATCAATATGTACATGTGGAAAAGGATGAGAACAATATACAGAATCATTTTCCGAGACAATTTTTTTTTCTTAATTCAAACTAATAAGGATCAACATAAGTAAAATGTGGTAATTTCATTCAGATAACTTTTTATAGTAATGAAAGACTGTGAAACTTACATGAGACATACACACCCACTCAAACAAAGATATCCATAGCTATGCTAAGCTTATAAGTGGACCAAGTGTTTACAAAATCATTGATATTAATAATTTGTATATAATTTTGTATATACATTACAAATTACAAATAATCATAACAGTAGACATGTTTGATATTTAAATCTAACCTTCCAAAGAAAAACAGTTATCCCCTTATACTGAAGGAAGGTCTCTGAACCAGGGGCTTAGGTGCACTTTCTGATTGAAATAAATAAATATATATATCTTTCCAACTTTAACAGTTTTTATATAGATGTATGAACACAAGTACCAATACATGAAGGTAAAAAAAAGGTACACCATTGAATTTTGTTCAAATGTATATACACTATTAAAAATCAACAACTAGTAATAATATTGTATATAACAACATAAACAATATCTAGATATTTTAAGTAAAACAGATTTAATATCCATAAACTTTAAACAAAACATTAATTTAAACTATACTTTTTTTAACCATACACATCCAATCATCAGTGAAATCTTGTAAAAATATGACAGGTTAGAGAAAGAAAGAAATCTTCTTTAAACAAATCTTACAGAAGTATGGTTAGCCATGACTTAGTTATGACATAAATGTATTTCTTTACTCTTATCTTTTTTGTTAATAATTGTGGTTTTTATTTGCTATGTGTATAATTTTTTGGTTGCTTCCCTTTTTTAAGTAATGATACCTGAAGTAGAATCGTCACCCTGTACTGTGGTGAATTCGAGTGTCATGGAGGTAAACAGGGTGATTGTGTCGTCGAGTAGAATCAATAGAGGGTTACAGCTGGATATCTGATGGTAAACAGGGTGAATGGGTTGTAAAGTAGAATCAATAGAGGATTATAGCTGGATACCTGCTGGTAAACAGGGTGATTGGGTTATAGAGTAGAATCAATAGAGAGTTATAGCTGGATACCTGCTGCTAAACAAGGTGATTGGGTTGTTAAGTAGAATCAATAGAGAGTTATAGCTGGATACCTGCTGCTAAACAAGGTGATTGGGTTGTTAAGTAGAATAAATAGAGAGTTATAGCTGGATACCTGCTGCTAAACAAGGTGATTGGGTTGTTAAGTAGAATCAATAGAGAGTTATAGCTGGATACCTGCTGGTAAACAGGGTGATTGGGTTGTTAAGTAGAATCAATAGAGAGTTATAGCCGGATACCTGCTGGTAAACAGGGTGATTGGGTTATAGAGTAGAATCAATAGAGAGTTATAGCTGGATACCTGCTGCTAAACAAGGTGATTGGGTTATAGAGTAGAATCAATAGAGAGTTATAGCTGGATACCTGCTGGTAAACAGGGTGATTGGGTTATAGAGTAGAATCAATAGAGAGTTATAGCTGGATACCTGCTGCTAAACAAGGTGATTGGGTTATAGAGTAGAATCAATAGAGAGTTATAGCCGGATACCTGCTGGTAAACAGGGTGATTGGGTTATAGAGTAGAATCAATAGAGAGTTATAGCTGGATACCTGCTGGTAAACAAGGTGATTGGGTTATAGAGTAGAATCAATAGAGAGTTATAGCTGAATACCTGCTGGTAAACAGGGTGATTGGGTTGTTAAGTAGAATCAATAGAGAGTTATAGCTGGATACCTGCTGGTAAACAAGGTGATTGGGTTATAGAGTAGAATCAATAGAGAGTTATAGCCGGATACCTGCTGGTAAACAGGGTGATTGGATTGTTAAGTAGAATCAATAGAGAGTTATAGCTGGATACCTGCTGGTAAATAAGGTAATTGGGTTATAGAGTAGAATCAATAGAGAGTTATAGCCGGATACCTGCTGGTAAACAGGGTGATTGGGTTGTTAAGTAGAATCAATAGAGAGTTATAGCTGGATACCTGCTGCTAAACAAGGTGATTGGGTTGTTAAGTAGAATCAATAGAGGGTTATAGCTGGATACCTGCTGCTAAACAGGATGATTGGGTTGTTAAGTAGAATCAATAGAGAGTTATAGCTGGATACCTGCTGCTAAACAAGGTGATTGGGTTGTTAAGTAGAATCAATAGAGAGTTATAGCTGGATACCTGCTGCTAAACAGGGTGATTGGGTTGTTAAGTAGAATCAATAGAGAGTTATAGCTGGATACCTGCTGGTAAACAGGGTGATTGGGTTATAGAGTAGAATCAATAGAGAGTTATAGCTGGATACCTGCTGGTAAACAAGGTGATTGGGTTGTTAAGTAGAATCAATAGAGAGTTATAGCTGGATACCTGCTGCTAAACAAGGTGATTGGGTTGTTAATTAGAATCAATAGAGAGTTATAGCTGGATACCTGCTGGTAAACAGGGTGATTGGGTTATAGAGTAGAATCAATAGAGAGTTATAGCTGGATACCTGCTGGTAAACAAGGTGATTGGGTTGTTAAGTAGAATCAATAGAGAGTTATAGCTGGATACCTGCTGCTAAACAAGGTGATTGGGTTGTTAAGTAGAATCAATAGAGAGTTATAGCTGGATACCTGCTGGTAAACAGGGTGATTGGGTTATAGAGTAGAATCAATAGAGAGTTATAGCTGGATACCTGCTGGTAAACAAGGTGATTGGGTTATAGAGTAGAATCAATAGAGAGTTATAGCTGGATACCTGCTGCTAAACAAGGTGATTGGGTTGTTAAGTAGAATCAATAGAGAGTTATAGCTGGATACCTGCTGGTAAACAGGGTGATTGGGTTATAGAGTAGAATCAATAGAGAGTTATAGCTGGATACCTGCTGCTAAACAAGGTGATTGGGTTGTTAAGTAGAATCAATAGAGAGTTATAGCTGGATACCTGCTGCTAAACAAGGTGATTGGGTTGTTAAGTAGAATCAATAGAGAGTTATAGCTGGATACCTGCTGCTAAACAAGGTGATTGGGTTGTTAAGTAGAATCAATAGAGAGTTATAGCTGGATACCTGCTGGTAAACAGGGTGATTGGGTTATAGAGTAGAATCAATAGAGAGTTATAGCTGGATACAAACCATTTTTAGCCTTAGATAAGTGACTACAATAGCTTTATCACTATTATAAGCTAACTAACCTCCCTACTTTGAGTTATTGTAGTGTGTTGTTCCTTTGGCCGATTGCAAAACAAATGTAAAAATAACTAATGTCTTGTGTTGTTTGTTTTGTTCAACCCATGCAGTACTCAACTTAAATTAAAAGTCCTATTTCTAAGTGGATATCAAATTCAAAACTGCATTCTACAGTACGGTGTAAAATCTAACACATTACAACTACACTTCTATTAAACATATAGCAACCATCTGGTCCCAGATTCACACATCACATTTACCAATAAATTAACTTCATTCCAACATTTGTTCTCTCATTCACACTGAACCCATTCAATAAACCCATGACTTATGCAAATATCAAAACATGAATTTCTGTTTAAATGGAATATCAGTCAATGCTAGTCCATTGCACTGACATAAGCCCACACCTTAAAACTTTCGAGTCAGAGGTTGTGTCCCCCCCAACCCAATTCCAATAAGGGTATATTGTAAGATAAACACAATATATATGTATATGCTCCAATCACACTAAGTACAAAGTCATCACAGATTATGATTCACCAGTAAAATTATTTATCAAATATATATGAACTGTGATGATTATTTGAGATAAAAAAAAAAAAAAAATAATAAAATAAGAAATAAAAATGCATCACTTTCCAAACCAGAAACTTTTTTCAGGTTTCCTGATTTACAATATAAATTTTGTCTGCTTTTTATACAGGTTTTGTAACTCATTGTCAACTTTTTGTCTGCTTTTTTATACAGGTTTTGTAACTCATTGTCAACTTTTTGTCTGCTTTTTATACAGGTTTTGTAACTCATTGTCAACTTTTTGTCTGCTTTTTATACAGGTTTTGTAACTCATTGTCAACTTTTTGTCTGCTTTTTATACAGGTTTTGTAACTCATTGTCAACTTTTTGTCTGCTTTTTTATACAGGTTTTGTAACTCATTGTCAACTTTTTGTCTGCTTTTTATACAGGTTTTGTAACTCATTGTCAACTTTTTGTCTGCTTTTTATACAGGTTTTGTAACTCATTGTCAACTTTTTGTCTGCTTTTTATACAGGTTTTGTAACTCATTGTCAACTTTTTGTCTGCTTTTTTATACAGGTTTTGTAACTCATTGTCAACTTTTTGTCTGCTTTTTATACAGGTTTTGTAACTCATTGTCAACTTTTTGTCTGCTTTTTATACAGGTTTTGTAACTCATTGTCAACTTTTTGTCTGCTTTTTATACAGGTTTTGTAACTCATTGTCAACTTTTTGTCTGCTTTTTTATACAGGTTTTGTAACTCATTGTCAACTTTTTGTCTGCTTTTTATACAGGTTTTGTAACTCATTGTCAACTTTTTGTCTGCTTTTTATACAGGTTTTGTAACTCATTGTCAACTTTTTGTCTGCTTTTTATACAGGTTTTGTAACTCATTGTCAACTTTTTGTCTGCTTTTTATACAGGTTTTGTAACTCATTGTCAACTTTTTGTCTGCTTTTTATACAGGTTTTGTAACTCATTGTCAACTTTTTGTCTGCTTTTTATACAGGTTTTGTAACTCATTGTCAACTTTTTGTCTGCTTTTTATACAGGTTTTGTAACTCATTGTCAACTTTTTGTCTGCTTTTTATACAGGTTTTGTAACTCATTGTCAACTTTTTGTCTGCTTTTTATACAGGTTTTGTAACTCATTGTCAACTTTTTGTCTGCTTTTTTATACAGGTTTTGTAACTCATTGTCAACTTTTTGTCTGCTTTTTAAACTATGTCTGTTTATTACAGTTTCCTGACTCACTATAAACTAAGTCTGGTTTTTACAGGTTTCCTTACTTACTATAAACTTTGTCAGTTTTTACTCTTTTTTTTTACACCCTTCACCAATATCAGCTAATCTTGATGATCAGGTTGGACAGGCATCGGTTGTATTAAACCATTGTTAATATTGTTTTGATTTGCATCATCCCCATCCACACTTGAACTGTTTACATCATTAGAGTTGTAGATCACTTTATAGCACATTGGACAATTATCTTGAACATATAGCCACTTTCGGAGACAAACACCATGAAAATAGTGATTACATGATGTGATACGAGCATTTTGTAGGTCTTGATAACAAATAGCACATACATCATTGAGAGTACGGAGTTGTTCTTGACTGGCTAAAGGGAGAGAATTTATTTTATCTACTGCTGTTTTCCTCTTCATGAAAACCTTCCAACCTTCTTTTGCTTGGACCCAGATGTTGAAATATGCATGAATACACATCATAATAGCACGAATCGTTCCTCCAGATTCAAACAATAATATCCAACCTCCATTACAAAACAGAAAAATTCCGAATAAAAATTCTATTGTGTTGCCAGTTGACTGAATGTAGTAAACATAATCATCCAGTGATTCCCAGAACTTGTCTCGATATGCATCCAGCATAAATAGGAAATAAACCATGAGAGATACGATAACTTTGATGATAACTTCCAGGCTGAATGCTGTGACAGCCATTAGCCATGTGTTGACCTTATGAATACTCCAGAGGTAGACCAAAAGGCAAGAGGGGAATGTGATAAGGAAGGCACACATTGTCAGAGCTCGCATATGTCGCTTGATGTGCATGTTACGAGATGCACTGAGTGACATCAGCAGTGGATGTACCATGCTGTGAACAAAATGTGTAATAGCAGTTCCAAGGAGGTATAAATTTTTGCAAAGTCTTGCTAGTCGTTTTTCCGGTTCTAATCCTGTTAGTCCCGTTTGCAGGGCAAGTATAAAGAATAAAATTGCTGACACCGTACCCATGTTTTTGTCATCTTCTTCAGATGTTCCTATGCAGAATGCCATAAAAATGCCAATGTAATGAGCACAAAAGGACACAATACTAGTCAAGCCAAGTAATGCTACAATATTATCACAACTGCGCACTACAACCTGATAGCTGATGTTGTTTAAAATATCTGCATTAACGTAATTAACATTCAGTGTGTTTGGAATCGTCCTGTAAGCAGATGTCCAGTATAGGTACCCAACTTGAAATATAAACCTACTTGTGAAAAATAGTCTTAGCACCTTGGGAATTTGCAAACGAACCCAATGATTTTCTAGAAAACCTTGTATTCCGATCGCGCTGATCGTCAATTTTATCAAGTTATATGAATGTCTAAAATTGAAGTAGAATAATGATACTGTGTTTATAACATCTGTTGACAGGATCATTAATGGTAAGATCAGTCCAACTACTTGTGACCATAAAATTAGGGTCTCTGAACTTGGATATATCACTTGCATCACTTGAGTCACTAATATTGGAAAAACAAACGATAAGAAGACGCTGCATACATATTTCTTGCTGTCGGGTGGATGATCTCTGTGAAACTGCCAAGATTTACAGAAGATAAAAGCGGCAGCCAGCTGACCAATTAAGTAACGAATACTGGTTTGTAATCCATGTTCAATCGTCTCTGGTGGTATTGATTCTATTGTTCGGTTTTTTGGGTTGGGAAACTCAGATCCAACTACAGATCTTGTTGCAGTCCTTGTGAATTCTACATTCATGAAATATGCTACTAAGACAGCAATGACAGAGAGAATACGGCTATATACAGTGAGGAGCTGTCGAGTTCCCAGAAGGAAAATCACCAGGGCCACAGATAAACCTGCAATCAATCAAAACAATGAATTAAAATATCATTTACAAATTACCCAATCAACATAAATTCCATACAATGCTGGATAGAACAATTTGTTAGTGGGTTCATTTCAAATTCAAAGTTATGTATACATTCTTGTAACCAAAATGGTGTTTAAAGAAGATAAATGAACAGATACAGTTTATCAATGAGTCTACAAAACCTATAGAACTTGATTCCAATTACCTTTAATTAGGATCAATGTTACTAACATGAAAAACCTTAATAGCATTTCATTCCAGTGTGCTACTGACCAAAAACAAAAGGAAAATACCAACATATGTCAGCCTCATATGTCAGTCTTAGTTGGTACTCAAATTTGTTGAAACTAGGGCAAAATATGACCAAAACTGGCTAAAGAAAGAATTACATTGACACTTTTGAAAAAGTAAAAGAATAAAAAAATGTTTCTTGGAAGGTCTTAATTTAGATACATTTTTACAAATGTTACAGATATTAAATGTGCTTGAAATAATACTCTTGGCTTAACTTGAATTCATGTAATTAATCTGCTCATATAAGAGATTTTCTTTCTATAAACAATAACAACAAAGTAAATATCATGTGTTATGATTTGATGACTGCCATCTGAAAAGTGCCTTCCTGATTGGCAAAACTGAGACAGTGCTGTTGGATGTATTTTTTATTTTGCAAGTTTATCACCAAAGTTTATTTTCTATCATCAGTTGTGTAGGTAACTGTGACTCAAAGACAAATAAAATGAGTTGCTGTGCATGGAATTAAATGCTAAAGTTATACTCTGACTGCTGTTACATTTTAAAGGTAAAAATTAAAATTGTTATGCTGTTATAAATTATTATACACTAACATCTAGTGATAAAATTGGATTTGAAAGATCATGGTACATATAATATAGAGGGATAAGAGAATAGGCCTAGTGTTGACATCTCTGGCATCAAGTTTTGTGTTTATTCACCGAGCTGTGAAATCATAGATGTTCCTATTTCTCCCTATTGTTATCTAATCTTATCTACCTGTGCCCCATCACTTCTATGCTGCAGTTTGTGTGGACGATGAGTCAATCAGCAAATAAATCAGCTCTATAATGTCGTATTTTTCAAAATGATTTTCTTCATACTTAAGGCAGAATGAGGTTGGGCAGTATTTCAGTTGCAAAAAGCTTAAACATGCATTTTACATTATAAATACCAAAATTTAAATAATTTGTCACAAAATTTTGCACAATCAATTTGAAAATTATTTAGCTTTCTACTACTGTTTCTTTTAAAATGTTTAGGTTTTACTTTTTGAAAAAAAAAAATGGTTTATGAACACAGTAAGGCAAGTCTACTTGTTCACTATAAAAAGATATGGGCAGTTTCTTATACCTCTATAATGCACCTCCCTGAAAAGATGGTAAACATGTCATCAATTTTATCTGCATAATAATCACAAATGTAGCATCTTCACTATGGCAACAGTAAATCATTATGTTGGGTACATACATATAATGGGTCCCAAGCCAGTATGTACATCATGTATTTGTATTACATCATGAGATTGAACTTGCATCAATGATGCATCATGGGCTCTATTAAACACAAGCCATTATATTTTATCCACACTTCTTTCTATTTGGGTAACTTCATGTACCATCCTAATTAAACATTCACTGATGAATCTATGAAAAGCTGGAATACATTGAAAATATAATAATATATGTACCTAGGAAACATTATGGACATGTATGCATATGAACAATGGTTATCACTGCAAGTAGGTTTCGTGATTCAGTCATTTTTGAAGATTTTTTTTCTGACTGGTCTAGAACACAAATTCCGATATTTTGATTGGGGAGTTCTTATACTAAGAGATACAGTGAGTTCTCAGAATTTCAATGAGTCCTACAGTAAAAGCCTGAGTCAAGGACTGAAATATCTGATTTACAAAAATTATTGTGATTGCATAATAGTATTGAAATAGATTGTTTGAGAAATTTGTACATAAAATACATATATCGCCGATATTGACATTTCTTCTATCCTGGGGCACATTTGTCTACCCATTCAGATTATATATATATATATATATATATCACCTTAAACATGGAACTAGTACTACGCGCGTTCCCAATCTTTATCTGTTCATTGCTTATGACCTTTTCATAATAGTGCATGCTTTCACTGTCAAACACTTGTAGTTAAATATACAATAATTCCAAAATGTGATGATGGCAATCAACAGCATTAGCAAATACTAACACAATGAAAACAGAAGCAGCCATTCTATGTTCTGGGTCCATGTCGTCGGCGTGTCAAATTGAAGGAACTGAAAGTAGGAGAAAAATGAGTAATTGAGAAGAGAGTCTATCATAAAGAGTGGGGGTACTCTCAGAATGACTTCCCACATTCTGATCATTTCTGTCATCCATGGCATGGCTGTGATCATTCATCAGATATAACGCGCAGGTAAAGGTCTTTGACCTATTACGTCAAAAGCATTATATCTGGTTCTCCTAATATCAAATCCGTCTGGTTGTGTCAACGGACAACTTCCGGTGTGTTGATCAAATTTGCGAAATTCTCTAAAAACAAGAAACAAACATAGAACAATTAAAGACTGGTTCTTCATTTGAAAGTCAAATAAATTTTATCAACTAATATTTTAATTTATGATAAAGGAATATATATATATGGATTTGAGACACATCATCTGTAATTAAATACAAATACGAGGTTTTGTTTCGTTTTTAGTAAAAATGATAACATTTGTTTTCAGTCTTCCGGTTTCATTTCTTCCATCTGGGACGGGAAAAATAGCCATATCTCCTGTAATCATCATTCCAACAGCTATTTTCAGGTATTTACGTATTAACTCTCAGTAAATATTCATCTTCCTTTTTCAACAAGGACGATTTGTTATGAAATTTCAGCAAATGTCATGTCCTGTGTCAGGCATAACTAAAACAGGTGTTCACAACCGGGATTCGGACTAGTTTGTACCACGATGAAAGACGTAACCGGCTGGCAACAATTCATCTCAAACTTCGGGGAAAATCAACACCATGTTAAGCATTCTTGAAATGCATTTCCTATCCCTTTGGTCAATCACATAAGTTTTCTTTCTTAAGACTTGTCGATACCATTTACGTTTAGGGATGAAGTTTTAATTTTGTATATATCGTTCGAAATTCCTGTATACAAGTGCAGTACCAAAAATATAATTATGTTTGTTTACTGGGCTTATAGCCATGTCAACAACAACACTTAAGGCAATTTTGAGACGGAGTCTCCCTTAGTGAATATCATGCAGGAGACCAGCAACTTGCTATCAAGACCAATTAAAGTTGGTTAAAGATACAATATTAATAAAGTAGCTTCAATGTTTGTAATAACAGCACAGGAAGTTTCATGAATTATTGTTTTCATGACAAACACAAAATGACAATAGCAACAATCAGTTCAGCATATCTGACATATCTTCACCTGGTGTTAAAGTCTGAGATGCTTCATTAACTGCGGTAGGCTTAAATAGTGTATCCTATTGATATTTTGTATTTTTACTCAATGTGCTGATTATTTTGTAAACCGGAATATGATAATAATTCCACTGCCGTCTGAGTTATAAATACAAATTTGAAACATCCTTGGATTTGAGATAGTATTACAGGGATTCAGTTCTCTTCTGTACTGACACATTAATTTATGTGCTTTCTCTGAAATAAAAAATAAAATGCTTTTAAAATATCTCAAACTTGCATATACATAATAACTGTCACCATGTCTTGTAGGTTACAAAAATATATTTGAAATTGAAAAAACAAATATATGTTGTCTTATGTAGAGTACTTAAGCTAAGCCAGATGTGCAATCCTATTGACTGATAGTTTTGTCAAATTAGTGGAAGCTGAATTGTCTAATTTGTTTACCATTTGATAAACCAAACAGTGCACTGTATAATCATAAAAGACCCAACCATTGTGAAATCATGCATGCACATATACACATTAGTGAATCTATTTACCGGCACATGTTTTTCTGACAAATATTTCATTGTTATACAAGATTGAACAGTGGTTATGTTTACTAGTTTGCATACATACAATGTGCAAATTTAGGTTTTAAAATGATATGAACTGTGAATAAGAAAATCTCATTTTAAATTTGTTCAGTTATGTCTAAAACACATTTTATATGACATGTCCATACACCATAGTATCAGAGTTAGAGGATTTCATCTGAACCAGGCAAAGAGAGGGATGTTTTGGAGTCCAAAAAATCTTCTCAATTTGTCTTAGTCATTTAGCTGACAATTTCTTGTCATATCAACTGTGGTGTTTATGTTTATTAATGTCATTTTAATGCTATAGGCAAGTAGCTGTATCCAGATTCTGGGGACAATAATGGTATATGTGTATTTCACAGTTATCATCCTCATCAAACTTTTTTCTTTTATTGTCATATGTTGCAGACACATTGCAATGTGTTGAGACACCAACACCAAGGAACTATGCTGACTGTGGTGCGTGGGTCCATAAAGTCGATTGTGTCTGTGATATTAAGAGTCCCAGCACTCTTTATTGTGGAGGTATGGTTTCGTACAACGCCAGGAAAATTGACCAAACTGGTGGTCAAGAACCAATCTGTGGAAACTCTTTACATGCTAGGAAGCTATACAGGTAAGTCTTGCATCAGGAATTTATCTATTATTATCAATTGATTATTGATTAGTGAATGAATTCCTAGTCTAGCCTGTTTCCCCTTTCCAGATCGCTATTTGGAAAATAATAAGCAAATTGATTCTGAATTGCTTCCCTTTTAACATACAACAGAATGTAAAATGTAACAGAGGTCATTATCTATATCAATGCCTCCGCTAAGATTCGAACCTGAGACCCCTGGCTTAGTTATCTGAGGCTTAACCGATCAATCTGAAGAGAAGTTTTCAGCAGAATATGAACCTGTCAGGAATGAATACTCAAATTTTACAGATTTCATATTGTTCAGAAGTTCAAAATTCAGTCTTGAGAAGACATTAAAACTGACAATAATGTACAAAGCATATTGAATTGTACATTTTAAAGTTTCATAGACTTAAAAAATCAAGCTCCTTCAGATTTTATCATAAGATTCCATGTTTATGATTGTTTCTTGATTAATAAAAATTTTATCTCATGGAGTGGGTTGAAAACTTTTATATTTTTCACAAGTACATAGTACAGATGCAAAATGTTAAAAGTTTCCACCCCATGAACTGATTCATCAAGAGACAAGGAATATTATATTCATGAATTTTTTTAATCACCTTCCATTGATGCCAGTTTGAAGTTGCCACTCTGTCTGTTTGCATACTCTATTAATCTCTAGTGAATTAATATCAAGTGAATACAACACATGTAATACTCTTTTAATTAAGTTAATATTGGCCAGGATTAATACAATATGGGAAAAGTTTCATTGTTTAGGACTTTATACAAATATTTCCACTAGAGTTGTTATTCCTTACTGTTACCACAATGCATTCTGGGAAAAGTTGATATTTTTGTCGCAAATGAAAATTAGACAAATTAGATTATCACTTATATATATCACTATAAAACTTTATATAACTGAAAAATATACTGAAAAGAAACATTTTGAAAATATCTGCTATTTAAGTTATTTTTTCTGAAATGAATGAATAAAAACACAGACTCTTTTTTTCTTTTCTCCAGCTTTGGTCTTTGCTGCAGTACTGGCAACACTTCCTCTGCGGAAACTTGTGAACCTGTACATGCATTTCATTGCATTGCTGTTACTCTACACTGAATACAAGTTGGCGGAACTGTACACAGAGACTCATGCTGTCAGTGAAGTTCCCTTCTATGAGGATGTTAAGGGAATACAACACCTTGTGATATTTATAGGCTTTCAGTGTGCTATAGCTATTCTGACAGCCTATCTGTTGGACATCACCAACTGGGATAGATTTATCTTCTTTGTGTTTACCATGCCAATTTTCGCTTGTGCAATGGGAACTGGTCCAGAAGAGCAACAGGTCATAACTAACACAGCGATAATGTTTACTTTAATCATGGCCTGCTTGTACTTTCTGAATTGTGTTGGTTCTATCATAAACACATGTAAAGAAGCTTTCACACAGGTGTATGTCTCATTACAGGTATATGGAATTATTCCTGTTGTGATTGCGATGTGGCATTCCTTTTTGCTTCCAGTGCAGCTTCTGGTTTTCTGGTTAGTGATGTTTTCTGCGCAGCTCTACGTTTATGTCCACTCCACCAATCTGCCAGTGTTGGACGAGGGTGTAATGATTACATTTTTAGCCAGTATAGGAGAGTGTTGTGCAACACCAATTTCTTTGTGTGCATTGTCTGTTACTATTTCATATGCTTCATACTGCATCTTAACCTTGACTAAAATCTTCCTCCAAGGATGGTCTACATATCAGGCAGATAATGATGTACTACGAGGGTGGACGGAAGGTTTTACTATGTTACTCATAGCCATCCAGACCGGTCTTCTTGATCTAAAGCCGTTACAGAGAGCATTTTTGATGAGCATTCTTCTTTTTATCGTAGCATCTTCACTTATTCAATCGATGTATGAAATGGCAGAACCAATTTTACTAGGATTAAGTGCTGCCCATAACAAGAATATGTTTAAACATGTACGTGCTGTTACATTATTCACATTCCTCTGGATGTTTCCTTTATTTATGACTTACTCCATTTGTCATTATTTTGACCTTGACTTTTGGCTACTAGTTATCATGTCAAGTTGCTTGCTGACAACAGTTCAGGTCATTGGAGCTCTTGTAGTCTATGCACTTTTTATGTATGATGCCTTAAGTGCCACTAACTGGGATTCCCTGGATGATGTCATATATTATACAAGGTCTGTTGTGCGTATTTTAGAGTTTGTTGTAGCTGTTTTTGTTGTCTGCTACGGTATGAAAGAATCCATCACGGGCGAGTGGAGTTGGATTAATTCATCCATACTTATAATACACTGCTATTTTAATGTGTGGCAAAGACTTCAGACTGGATGGAAAAGTTTTTTATTGAGGAGGGAAGCTGTAAAAAGGATGGAATCTCTGCCTCATGCTTCCGCAGAACAGCTTGCCACATATAATGATGTATGTCCCATTTGTTATATGGGTTTAGACTCAGCAAGGATCACACCATGTGGTCACTTCTTTCATGCAACTTGCTTGAAAAAGTGGCTGTACATTCAGGAAAATTGTCCGATGTGCCATAAAAAGATTGACCAAACCTCTGTGGACAAAAGTCCAAAAGATTCAAATGGTGATAATGTAATTGAAAATAGGGAAGTTGATGAAGATGATGAAGTTGTGAATGATACAGATGAAATGAGTGATGGATCTAGTCAACAAGATGAGGAGGTTGATGACAATGATACATAATAGTGATATTTCTTTTAAGAAACGATGAAGATTTTTTTCTGATTTTTGATTTAAAACGATAAGAATATGCATGCCGTTAGTTGCAGTGATAAAAATATAACGAAGGCTGTTTTGAATTAATCAGCATAAAGATATATAGGTTTACTCCATGAAATATGTATCCTTCATCATCCCCAAGTGGGAATTTTTACATTGCAGTTGCAATAATGACTTCCAAGAATTTTGTCTCTATATTTAACATTATGTTTAAAGTATTTATCTCCCAATAAGCCCAGAGATCCTAATATACAAACGCAATATCAGAGGCTGGCTTAATAAAGAACACAAAAAGTGCTCTGTTCATAATTCTACTACACAACAATAGATATAGTTGGGCTTATAACAAGACAATAAAGATTACTCTCTAATTCTACTGTGCAGCAATAGATATGGGTGGGCTTATTACAGGAGAGAAAATACTCCATTTGTATTTTTACTACACAACAATAGATATAGGTGGGATTATTACACGACAGTAAGACATACTCTGTAATTCTACTACACAACACTAGATATGGGTGGGATTATTACAGGACAATAAGACATACTCTGTAATTCTACTACACAACACTAGATATGGGTGGTATTATTACAGGACAATAAGACATACTCTGTAATTCTACTACACAACACTAGATATGGGTGGGATTATTACAGGACAATAAGACATACTCTGTAATTCTACTACACAACACTAGATATGGGTGGGATTATTACAGGACAATAAGACATACTCTGTAATTCTACTACACAACACTAGATATGGGTGGGATTATTACAGGACAATAAGACATACTCTCTAATTCTACTACACAACACTAGATATGGGTGGGATTATTACACGACAGTAAGACATACTCAATAATTCTACTACACAACACTAGATATGGGTGGGATTATTACACGACAGTAAGACATACTCAATAATTCTACTACACAACACTAGATATGGGTGGGATTATTACACGACAGTAAGACATACTCAATAATTCTACTACACAACACTAGATATGGGTGGGATTATTACAGGACAATAAGACATACTCTGTAATTCTACTACACAACACTAGATATGGGTGGGATTATTACAGGACAATAAGACATACTCTGTAATTCTACTACACAACACTAGATATGGGTGGGATTATTACAGGACAATAAGACATACTCTGTAATTCTACTACACAACACTAGATATGGGTGGGATTATTACAGGACAAGACATACTCTGTAATGCTACTACACAACACTAGATATGGGTGAGATTATTACACGACAGTAAGACATACTCAATAATTCTACTACACAACACTAGATATGGGTGGGATTATTACAGGACAATAAGACATACTCTGTAATTCTACTACACAACACTAGATATGGGTGGGATTATTACAGGACAATAAGACATACTCTGTAATTCTACTCCACAACACTAGATAAGGTGGGCTTAATACAGGGCAATGAAAAGTACTCTGTATTTCTACTACACAGCACTAGATATGGGTGGGCTTATTACAGGACAATAAAAGTACTGTGTTCCTATTTCTACTATACAGCAATAGACATGGATGGGTTTATTACCAGACATGGTCTTATTGCTGGATAATTACACAATGCTTGGTAGCTCTCTTTAAGAATCCACCTCAAAATGAAAGGAAAAAGGACAAAATATTTCAACAAATATTTTCTGGTGTAATGTTTTATTTTTACCATGCCAGATCCACAGAAATGAAAGTCAAAAAGAGTTTTAAAGGATCACTTGCATGCTGCACTCGTACAAATTGAAGTAATCTTTCATGAGGATGCAGCATCTATCATTCAGTCATTGTCAGTTATTTTTCTATATTTACATTTCCAATGTTTATTCTCTGTTTGGCCTACCAACAAAATTGATATTTACGCTATGCTAAATGTCCAGTTTGACAACCTTTCCAACCTAGGAATCTGCTATATTGCTAATTCATCTGTTGTCAAGTTGTAATGTCGGTGCATTTAACTTTCAAAGACGATTATTTATTTTCGAAGTAGCATAAATCTAAAAAAAAGTGTCAAGATGTATATATAAGAAATCAATTTTTTTTACTGTGTGTAAACTGCTATTTTTTTTACTGTGTGTAAACTGCTATTTTTTTTATTTCGACATAGTGTACTGACACTTCATTTTGAATATAAAAAGTTGCAGTTTACACAACAGTAAACAACAGATGAGTTAAATATATTAATTAATTAAAAAACAACTCAGAAAAGAATGGAGCTTTGAGTGATTCTTTTAAATTATGACCTATATACTTCATTGATGATATCTGCACTGAAAACAACCTTGATCTGCCATAATGGTCAAAGGGCCACATGTTTTGAAAAATTTAAACAAATTCATCTACAATATATATGCTTGTACTAAATATGTTGTTAATCAATATGCTTTTACTGTGATACACATGTATTTCTTTCTTTCATTCAGCTAGAGGTCATGAAGCATGTGGAGATAATACTGATGATAATGCTTTAGTCAATTTTGTGTTTTTCATTAATTTGTTTTACCTGCTGCACTCTTTGATGAAAAGCTGTTCAATTTGTTCAGTTTAGTTAAGGTTTTCAACACCATAATTATATGAATTCAAACTTGTAATTTTTAGCTCACTTGGCCCAAAGGTCTAAGTGAGCTATAGGGATACTGCAACGTCCATCATATATCTGTCATCTGTACAACCACGCAGATTTTAATCAAATTTGACCTGAAGCATCCTTCAGGAAAGAGGAACCAATTTTGTGTAAATGGTTGATCTGGCAAGGCCCAATAGGGAAAATTCATCAATTTCTTTTAAATTTACCTTGTTCCACAGGAATTGCAGGATATTGTCCAAAATTGGGCTGAAGCATGTTTTGGTGAAGAGAAATCAATTTTGTAGAAATGGTGGGACTTGACCCCCTGGGGATCAAGGGGTGGGGCCTAATAGGGAAAAACTATCAGGTCTTTAAAATCTATCTTGCCTTTAGGAATTGCAGGATATTATCCAAAATTAGTCCAAAGCATGCCTGAGTGAAGGGAAATCAGTGTTATATAAATGACGGGTCTTGGTCCCATGAGGCTTATAGGGAAAATCTATCAATTCTTTAAAACTTTCTTGTCCTACAGGAATAGCAGGATATTGTCCAAAAATGGTCTGAAGTATGCTTGGATGAAGGAAAATGAGTTTTGTATAAATTGTGGGTCTCAGCTCCTTGGGGCCAGAGTGGTAGTGCGCTATATGGAAACGGTATCAATTTCTTTAAAATCCACCTTGTTCTTGTGGAATTGCAGAATATTTTCCAAATCTGGTCTGAAGTATTCTTGGGTGAAGGGAAATCAGTTTTGTATAAGCAGTGAGTCTTGGGGCCCCCTGGGGCTAAAGGGAAAACCTATCAATTCTTTAAAATCTATTTGGTTCCATAGGAATGGCAGGATATTGTTCAAAATTGGTTTGAAGCATGCTCAGGTAAAGGGAAATTGGTTTTATATAAACGTTGAGTCTCAGCCCCCTTGGGCTAAAGGGCAGGCATAAAACGGAAAATCGATCTTGTTCAGGAATTGCAGGATGTTGTTCAAAATTGGTTTGAAGCTTGTTTTGGTAAAGGGAAGTCAGTTCTGTGTAAATGATGGATCGCAGGCCCGTTGGGCCAGATGATGGAGCCCAATAGGAAAAACTACCAATTTCTTTAAAATCTATCTTGTTCTTATGTAGATCCCAATTTGATCTGAGACATGCTTCAGGAAAAGGGAATCAATTTTGTTTGAAAAGTTGGTTTCTGTCCATTGGGGCCAGAGAGCTGAGGCCAAATAGTAGACACATAGCAAATTCTTTAAAATCTTAAATATGTTGGAACTGATGACATTCTTATCGAAGATTTTAGTTATTTTCAAACTGCTGCATCTAACCCCCTTTCAGAGGAGGGTTGAGCCTATTATGGGGACATAAATACAAGTGTTTAAATACTTTTCCCGTAGTTAAGATAAATCAATTTTAGCAAACTAAATCAGGTGAGCAATACAGGTCCTTTGGATCTCTTATTATGTACATGTTTGCATATTTAATGTATATGTATATACAATAAATTCATTTGTGTCATTATCCAGACATCTATAACTAACCTGAACTATTCTTAACTTTCCCTTCCTTGATCTATATCATTTGAAAGTATTCAGACTTTCCAGACTTTCATAGAGCTGTGTTACCATAACTTATCTGGAATTTTCTAGACCTGTGTTACCATAAAGTATCCAGAACTCTCTAGGCCTTTGTCACCCTAAAGTGTCCAGACCTCTCGAGACCATTGTTATCCTTAAGTGTCCAGACCTCTCTAGACTATTGTTATCCTAGTGTCCAGACCTCTCTAGACTTGTGTTATCCTAAAGTGTCCAGATCTTTCTAGACTTGTGTTATCCTAAAGTGTCCAAATCTCTCTAGACTTTTGTTATCCTAAAGTGTCCAGACCTCTCTAGACTTGTGTTATCCTAAAGTGTCCAGATCTTTCTAGACTTGTGTTATCCTAAAGTGTCCAAATCTCTCTAGACTTGTGTTATCCTAAAGTGTCCAGACCTCTCTAGACTTGTGTTATCCTAAAGACTTCCTTAGAGCACTTGTAATGGGTATCTTTAAACAATGTTGCTTTCATGTGTAAACCCTACTTTGTACTTGTATCTGACCTAGTCTTAGTCTGAACTTTATAAGGATTGACACACAATCATTTCAAACATGTCCATACAATCCATTTAATGCTACAAAATTACCGTGAAACAGGCTGTTTTTCTAATTTGTTGATGTTAAAGCTAAAAATGTGTGGGTTGGAAAAGGTATTAATTTAGTAATATATAATATATTTGAATAAATTTCATTTCTTTCAATTCTTTCATTAAGTTTTTTCTCTCTTTCATTTCTACATTAAGCAATAACTGCAGGTAGTGTGTTTGTCTGAAGTTGATGGCGATGAGACCAGACTTCATTTATTATTAATGAAATAACATTGAATAATATCTTGTTTCTTACTTTATTTGGGAGTAACTTTCTGGTGTATATTGTTCAATGTTGCCAAGTTCAAACTGATTTCTGACTGGCATAGCCAATGCGAAAATGCTCCTTAGTGTATTATGCTAGAAACATATTTTTTGGGTGAATTCACTGTTTAAAATGCAAATTATCAAATGAAGATATTTACTAGTGGTTTAGACTGAAGCTCTAATGAATGATACAAAGTATATCAATTGAGAAAACAAGAACAGGATGCTTTTATTCTCAGTACAATGGAAATAACACCAATGTTAATTTTGAAGTATAATGATATAGAATGTTAATAACTTTAAAAATGCCAAAAAACCATGAAAATGAAACACTAACATTTCCAGAACTAAGAGAATTAAACACATACCTTTCCAGAACTAAGAGAATTAAACACATACCTTTCCAGAACTAAGAGAATTAAACACATACCTTTCCAGAACTAAGAGAATTAAACACAAACATTTCCAGAACTAAGAGAATTAAACACATACCTTTCCAGAACTAAGAGAATGAAACACAAATATTTCCAGAACTAAGAGAATTAAACACATACCTTTCCAGAACTAAGAGAATTAAACACATACCTTTCCAGAACTAAGAGAATGAAACACAAATATTTCCAGAACTAAGAGAATTAAACACATACCTTTCCAGAACTAAGAGAATTAAACACATACCTTTCCAGAACTAAGAGAATGAAACACATACCTTTCCAGAACTAAGAGAATTAAACGCATACCTTTCCAGAACTAAGAGAATGAAACACAAATATTTCCAGAACTAAGAGAATTAAACACATACCTTTCCAGAACTAAGAGAATTAAACACAAACATTTCCAGAACTAAGAGAATTAAACACATACCTTTCCAGAACTAAGAGAATTAAACACATACCTTTCCAGAACTAAGAGAATTAAACACAAACATTTCCAGAACTAAGAGAATGAAACACAAATATTTCCAGAACTAAGAGAATTAAACACATACATTTCCAGAACTAAGAGAATTAAACACAAACATTTCCAGAACTAAGAGAATTAAACACAAACATTTCCAGAACTAAGAGAATTAAACACAAACATTTCCAGAACTAAGAGAATTAAACACAAATATTTCCAGAACTAAGAGAATTAAACACAAATATTTCCAGAACTAAGAGAATTAAACACATAT